CCGAATGACTTCCCACAATCACTACACTCAAAAGGTTTCTCACCAGTGTGAACTGTCTTGTGTCGAATGAGGGTAGAGCTTTGTCTAAATGATTTCCCACAATCACTGCATTCAAAAGGCTTTTCTCCAGTGTGAATTCTATAGTGTCGACTGAGGGTAGAGATCTGTCTAAATGACTTCCCACAATCACTACACTCATAAGGCGTTTCTCCACTGTGAACTCGGAGGTGTCTAGTGAAGTAAGACCTTTGATTGAAGGCCTTCCCACAATCCGTACACTCAAAGGGCTTTTTTCCAGTGTGAACTCTCCTATGCCGAATGAGGTTAGAGATTCGTCTATAAACTTTCCCACATTTGTTACACTCATAATTCAGTTCTCCGGAGCAGACACTCTGAGGAACAACTTTCTGGGTGTGGCTGGCAGCTTTGTCACATTCATCCCACTGGTGCAGACTTTCTCCACTGAGAAATTCCTGTGAAATCTCACTGCCACCGTGTGGCTCCTCAGTGTCGAGAGGGTCCTGGTGCTGGAGAAGCTCTGAGATGGCTGGCAAGTCTTCCCCAACCTCCTTATTGGGTGAATGCACCCAAGATGAGAAGAAGCTGCACCTGGTCACAAACGAGGCCCTGTCCACAGCTCCTTTCCACGGCTTCTCTCCACTGGCTTCCCTCTGTGGTCGGTGAGGGTTTGCACTGAAACAGAAGTCTCTCACACATGCGTCACTGAAGAAGGCTTTCTGCTCAAAGTCTGCTGCTTGTGACTCAGTCAGGTGCAGAATGTCTTTTAACACTGAGAAACACCTCCCACACAGATGGGTCCTCTGGGTTGCTGGCTCTGTCTTAGAAGCACTGTCCTGTGACACCCCTTGTACAGATACACTCTGCTCAAAACAGGCCTTCTCATCATCTGTTTTATGCCAACAACCTGCAAACAGAGAAGCTGAGTAAATGAATGCTGGTTGTGGTGACAGGGGAAGTCCAATTGGAAAAGTGTTTTGCACATATACATGGGTTCCGAGCAATTGTCTGAAAATAAGAGAGGAGCAGGAAGGATCAGTAAGAGGCTGCTGTGAAGTCTGGGCCACTGATGATCACAAAACAGGGAAGACCTCACCAGAAATATGACACAACACATGGCAAGGAGCTCATGGAAGAGAAGCCAGATCTCCAGCTCAGGCTTCTGGTAACAGCACTCAGCTTGACTTGTTTGATGGTGACAGGGGCAAGCTGTGCAGGAGGTTGGGTAGGTCTTTTTCCAAATAAAATTCAATAAAGGAGTAGGTGGTTTCAAGGACTGCATAAGCACGTATGTGCGCCTCATAACACATGTGCAGGTCCGTGCTGAGGAGTACTGAGGAGGCGGCAGTGCAGAGGGACAGGTGATGAAGAGGCGAGCAGTAGCAGTTCTTGCAATAGTGTTCAGGAAAGAGAATTTTACAAACAGCTAAGGAGGTCTGACAGTAACAGGCCGTGGCTCATGTCAGGAAAGACCATAGCCTGGCACAGGCCATCACACAGAACCTTGAACCAGAGGAAGGGGGAAGAAGTGAAAGCCCTATATGTGGACAGTCACCCTCCCAGGAAGAGAATGTGCAAGGTGGGACCCATAAGCTCACTGCAAGACTCCTGACTCCCGAACACTTCCTGTACTTTTTGAGGCAACGGATGTGAGGAATATTCCTGGAGTCCTTTGCTCAGGGCTCTCCACAGAGCTCATCCCTGGCAGCCACAGCACATTTGACAGGACAGTGGGGGGAATTAGCAGGACCTATGGTCTGGCTATGGGACATCACCTCAGGACACTGGGGGAATGTGAAGGTCTTACCTGCAGATGACACAAGTGCAAACACTTCCAGCATCACATCACAGTACAGAAGTCTCTGAGCCAAATCAAGGAGCCCCCACTCCTCCTCGGAGAAGGCAACGGCCAAGTCCTCAAAGTTCATATCCTGTTGTAATGGGGACAGCACAGCCCATGATCAAATCTTCTCCTAAGATCCCAAGTCTGGCATACTCCCCACCCTCCACATCCATTTGTTTCCTCTATTCCACACATCAGAGAAGACAGCAGGCCTTTGTCCCATCAAAGTCACTGTCTTCTTAAATTCCTACTGAAATTTTGTCTTCCCACAACAATAAAGGCAGTTGAGCAGAGAGAAGATACCTGAGCTCTGGGCCTCACATGTAGGCCACACTGCCCGTTATCAATAAAGTGGGTGTCAAGAACATAGGGTGAGTGCCAAACCGGTTTGGCTCAGTGGATAGAGCGTCGACCTGCGGACTGAGAGGTCCCGGGTTCGATTCCGGTCAGGGGCGTGTGCCTTGGTTGTGGGCACATCCCCAGTGGGAGTGTGCAGGAGGCGGCTGATCGATGTTTCTCTCTCATCGATGTTTCTGGCTCTCTATCCCTCTCCCTTCCTTTCTGTAGGAGATCAATAAAATATATTGGGAGAAAAAAAAAGAACATAGGGTGAGATGCTGGCCATAAAGGCAGTGTGAGTAATTTGATACTGGTCTTGTCAGGCGATACCCAGTCCCCAAGATTGTCCTCAAAGACACTAAAAACATGAGATCACACTTCACCCTTACAGCCCCAGTCCCGGGGTACTGAGGCCATCAATTTGCACTACCTGCTGCACATATTCTTTGAACCACACGTCTTTCACACAGCTTCCTTCCCACAGGTACAATGTCAAATGTAACACAAATATGCCGTGATGAGCACAGTTTATTTCCTAATCATCTTCTTTTCCAACATTGTAGTTCACCATCTTCATAATCTATTTTTCTCTTTCCCTTCTCTCTCACCCATGCCAGTGGAGATTTTCAAGCGCAGGTAACACTGATTTATGCTCTCATTCCAATGGATCAGTGGGTCAGCCCTCAACAACAAAAGACAGGAGGGTAGGTAAATGGCAAACCTATGGAACTGGCACACAGCACAACACCACTCTTTTCAGGCAATTTCCCTAAAATCCCCCTTATTGTATCAGCAGAAATGGACTCACCTTCATTCACTCTTATGTCAATATCAGGGCCCTGTGGCCATGAATTCATACTCCCTCACCAAGGGCACATGACTCTTTCTCCCACACCTCTCTCACACCTGCACTCCCACAGCTCCAACCCCATAGGCATCTCCTTGGCCTCTTACTCATTACTCAGCAGCTGTGGCCCAGAGAATGCTTGCCAAATTCAAACAGGATCAAGTCCTGCCCAGACGCTGAGAGTCCACACTCACAGAGGCAGCCTTGAGACCGTCTACGAAGGCCTCTCTCCATGACTCTATTTTCCTTCAACCTCAATTATTGAGAAACACAATCAGATCTCAGATTCCCAGAGCCCACCTCCCCTGGTGCTGCACTTGATGTCCCTTCAGCAGTCACAGCCAACATCTCTCCACTTACCCGTCACTCAAGTCCCAGCCCCGATGGCCCTCTGCACCAAGCCCAGTGAGTCTCACAGATGACCTCTCAAGCCTCTAAGCTAATCCACAAGTCTGACTGCAACACCCCAGGCCACACCAAGGGTCACAGCAAAAATCCCCGTGAGTGCTTAGAGAAGTAACTATGTACCAGCACTAGCCTCGTCCTGTTTGAATTACTCTTCAGCCTCCAATTCATCTCATGTGCACTCATCTTTTAAAGGCCTTGACCACTGCAAAGCCATTATCTCTCCTCAACACTCTACATGACCACTCTGTCCCTTTGTTGTGTTATGACACCCACCTCCCACATACACGGGCCCCGGCAGGAAACCAGTCCTCAGGCCCACACTGTCCCTGTGAGCTACCACTACCATTACCATCCTGACCATGATTCCCTGTATTAAAGTGATCTACGGTCCTGGCTGATTGTGTCAGTTGACTAAGCATCAACCCGCCACTAAGAGGTCGAAGATACAAACCAGTCTCAGTCAAGTCCCCTGCCTGGGTTTGGGACTGGATATACATAGGGGTCATGCAGGAGGGAACTGATCCTTGTTTCTTTCTCATGGAAGAATTACTGCACTCCCACAGCCCCAGCCCCCATAGGCATATCCTTGCCTATGCCTCTTGCTTCCTTTCTACATTTAAAATTAATCAAGTTATATATATATATATATATATATATATATATATATATATATATATATAAATTTTATTATTTTAACGGTGTATTTTTATTGCTTTCAGAGAGGAAAGTAGAGGGAGAGTTAGAAACATCAACGATGACAATCATTGATCAACTGTCTCCTGCCCGCCCCCGACTGTGGATTGAGCACCCCACCCAGCCATGTGCCTTGAGAAGAATCAAACCTGGGATCCTTCAGTCCACAGGCCAACGCTCTATCCACTGGGCAACACCAGCTAAGTGTGTGTGTGTGTGTGTGTGTGTGTATTTTAAAGTACAACTGCCAGTTCCTGAACCACCTCAGTCTTCACTCTGGGCCTTTGCACATTCTGGTCCCTGTGCCTGGGAGGAACCCCCACCTCTCATTCCACTCGTTGCCAAAACCAGGGTCCACGTCATAAAGCCCCAGCCGTGGCCTTAGGACTCTGGGCTGAGTGTCCCCGGGGCCCAGGGCGGGAAGAGGGGCCGAGGGCCCAGGACCCCACGACCTCAGAGGCCACCAGAGAGTGAGGCCCTGACAGGAGCCCCCAGCCCCGTCCCCCCAGCGGCTCTGCCCCCGCAGGAACCGGTGGGAACGAAAGGGCTGAGGGCCGGGCACCCACCCCAGGACCCAGGGGCTCCGGCTGCTCAGGGCCCTGGCCCAGCCCCGGGCGGGTGATGCCGCCTCCCTCGGGGCTCAAGGCCCCTCTTTGTTCACAACCACCCCCGGCCCCGGCGCCCTGACAGGAAGTGAACCTCCTCCCGGACCCGCCGCTCGGCCTATGTCGCCTTTAGACACAAACCAGGCCTGGGTGCCCCCCTCCCGGCTCAGCCCCCACGGCCTCACCGGCGGCCCCGCAGCCCGGCGCCCTCCCTCCCCTCACACCCCGGGGCCCCACGGGGACTCACTGCGCTGGACGCTGCGCCCTGGGCGGCGGGACCCGAGCGGCGCCGGCCCCGAGGCTGGAGGGTCCGATGGGTTGAGGCCGAGGGGCCTCTGTCGGCGGAGAGGAGTCGGGGAGCCTCGAGGACCCCAGTCCCGGGTGTTGGGGCTCAACCAGCCTCAGAGACACCCTGTCCCGCGGGGGCGCTGCCTTCTCCTACTCGAGACCCATGGGCTGAAGACCGAGTCCCAGAACAGAACAAAAAAAAAATCCAAATGTCCGCGGGAGGACGCCGCCGGAAGTCCCGCCCTCATGGAATGAGCAGCCACCAAAATGCGCTTTACCTCCGCTGACTTGCGCGCATTGCTTTCTGGGTAATGTAGTCTTTCAGCCGCCAGGGCCTCGTTTGTGGCCAGGCGCACCTTCTTCTCATCTTGGGTGCCTTCCACCAGCGGGGAGGGTGGGAAAGTCTTCCCAGCCACCTCAGAGCTTCTCCAGCACCAGGCCCCTCTCAACGCTGAGGAGCCGCACAGGGGCAGTGAGATTTCACAGGAAGTTCTCAGTGGAAAAAGTCCTCACCACCATTGGGGAGAAGGTGAAAAAGCCGCCAGCCACAGCCAGGAAGTTGTTCAACGTCAGGGTGTCTGTTCTGGAGAAGTGAAGTATGAGTCTAACAAATGTGGGAAAGTTTTTTTTTTAATACATATATTTTGCCCTGGCTGGTTTGGCTCAGTGGATAGAGCATCGGCCTGCGGACTGAAGGGTCCTGGGTTCGATTCCGGTCAAGGGCACATGCCCAAGTTTCCACCTCAATCCCCAGTAGTGGGTGTGCAGGAGACAGCTCATCAGTGATTCTCATCATTGATGTGTGTGTGTGTGTGTGTGTGTGTGTGTGTGTGTGTGTCTCTCTCTCTCTTACTTCCTCTCTGAAATCAATAAAAAAGTACATTTAAAAAAATAAAATAAAATACATATATTTTGCCCTGCCTGGTTTGGCTCAGTGGATAGAGCGTCGGCCTGCGGACTGAAGGGTCCCAGGTTCGATTCCGGTCAAGGGCATGTACCTGGGTTGCGGGCACATCCCCAGTAGGGGGTTTGCAGGAGGCAGCTGGTCGATGTTTCTCTCTCATCGATGTTTCTAACTCTCTATCTCTCTCCCTTCCTCTCTGTAAAAAATCAATAAAATATATATTTTTTAAAAGAAGACATTTAGGCATATCTCTGCTCTCATTCAGCATCAGAGAGCTCACACTGGAGAAAAGCCATATGTGTGTAGTCATTGTGGGACGTCCTTCAGTCAGAAGTCTACATTCCCTAAACACCAGAGTTCACACTGGTGAAAAGGCACATAATGGTAGTGAACGAGGGAACACTTTGTGGTGCAATGACGACCTCCTAGTCCACAAGAGAGTTCACACAAGGAAAGCCATAGGAGGGTGGTATTTGTGGGAAGTTGTTTAGCCAAAGCTCTAAGCTCACTGAACAGCACAGGGGTCACAATGGCGAAAGGCCATGAGTGTAGTGAATGTGGGAAACGTTTAGCAGAAAACCAACCTCCTTAGACACCTGACTGTTCATAAGGGAGAAAAGCCTGCCCATGTGCAGGGAATGTTTCTTTTTCTCACTGAGGATGACAACACGGAAGGGGTCTCTTTGATACACATTTAACGGAACATAAACCCCCTTTATCACAACATGCACTGTGCTGGGTTCATCGTCAGTTTCAGGTTCAAGTGAGGCTTTAAGGAGCTGCATTGCCCTTGCTTTACAGGTCTCAGCTGTGCCCGCCCGTGGCTGCTGCTCCTCACTGCAGCCTTCCTTCAGCCCACCCACTGCAGACCCTGCCCCATGTGCTGGCCAGAACCACCCTCACCAACCCTGCCCAAGCCCCCAACCTCTCCGTCAACCACACACCCCACAGCACACTGTCCCCCAGAGCCTAGGGTCCCTCACTTCACTACAGGGAAGGGCTCTGCTCTGCACAGGCCAGAATTAGCCAGGTGGGCACACCAACCAGAATGCACCCCCCAGTGTGGTATCATGTTGAGACCAACCCTCTCCTGCTGGGAACGCTTGCAGAATGTTCTCAGCGTTGAAAAGACACAGAACTAATTCCTGGAGAACCCATGGTATGTCCAGGACAGGATGAGAATCGGGTATTTTTATTTAAATGAAAGTGGAAAGATACCCCCAAAATGCAAAAACAGACTCAAACAACACCCAGTGGGCCTCAGGTGTGGGTGTGGGCTGGCCAGAGGCAGGACTTTCCAACGGTGAACTGATGTGGGACCCAAAGCATCATGGGGCATCTCCCAGATAAAGTAGATTCAGATGCAGCGGGCCAGGCGTCTGGGGATGGGGAGACCAGGCTAGAGAGACTCTGGATGGAGACAGCGGAGCCCTGGCCAGCTCCTCTCAGGCGGACACAGAACCCCAATCCCTCCCAGGGGCCTGCCTCGGGCTCCTCTCTGCCAGCTCCTGGGCAGGACACAGCGTGCCCAGCTGCAGGGGGAACATCCCGGGCAAAGGCAGGAGTGTGAGGACAGGGGGTTGTGCAGGCAGAGCCCCATCTCAGCGAAGCAGGGTAAACGTTCTTTTTATTATAATTTTATTATAATACTCACACGGCATTTTCCCATTGATTTTTAGACAGAGCAAAATGATGTGGGTGGGAGGAGAGAGAGGAGGGAGGAGGGAAGGGGAGAGAGGGAAAGAGAGAGAGAGGGAGGGAGGGAGGGAGGGAGGGAGGGAGGGAGGGAGGGAGGGAGAGAGAGATGAAAGAGACACACAGAATAGATGCCTCCTGCATGCGACCCAACGGGGGCCAAGGGTGGAACCTGCAACTGCGGTACATGCCCTTGCCTGAGAATTGAATTTGTTGCCCTTCAGGTGTGTGGGCTGACTCTTACCACTGAGCACACTGGCCAGCAAAGGTGGATGTTTACCCAACAAGGGAAGAGCAGGGCTATTTCCTCTCACTAGGTGGACAGATGTCTACAACCTCCTTTAGTTACTAACCTTCAAGGCACTTCCAACCCAGCAGAGGAACACGAGGCTGAGCAGCCAGCATCGCCACCTGCTGGGCAGACGGGAACCAGCCTCTGCAGAGACAGCTCCCTGGGCAGGGCAATGGCTGGACTCTACTAGGGATGACTAGGTTGAGCCTGCCTGTGTCACAAGCAATTTTGGAGCAAGTATTGACTCCCAGATCATGACCCCGTGGGAAGTCCTGCAGCAGAGCTTACCCCACTTCCCACTAACCATGGCCCCAAAGAATGGAGCGGCCACAGCCTGGACTGGAACTAGAAAGGGCCTCAGAGCCACACACATGGTCCAGCACCAACTCTCCCTGGCAACTGCCCCGGGCACTTTCCTTCCCACACCCCCCTGCCCAGCTACCACCGCTGCTCCCAGCCTTGACACCTTAGAGCAGCGGTTCTCAACCCTGTGGGTCGCGACCCCTTTGGCGGTAGAACGACCCTTTCACAGGGGTCACCTAAGACCGTCCTGCATATCAGATATTTACATGACGATTCAAAACAGTAGCAACATGACAGTTATGAAGTAGCAACGAAAATGATTTTATGGTTGGGTCACAGCATGAGGAGCTGTATTTAAAGGGCCAGAAGGTTGAGAACCACTGGCTTAGAGGAATCTGGGCTCCTCAACCCCCTGAATCAGAAATATCCCAGGATCAACCCCCGGCTGGAAGGTGCAGAGACCACAAGGGGCATGTCCAGGCCCAGAGCTTCTCCCGGCCGCTTTGGTTTTAGTCCCAGGTGCACAGATATTAGCAAAGGTTACAAACCTAGACTTCACTTAATGTTTACTGAATGCTTAGACTTAAATGAGAGTGCTGGAGAATGTTAACAATGCACATTAAATGTACAAGTATAGCCCTAGGTGGTTTGGCTCAGTGGATAGAGCGTCGGCTTGTGAACTAAAAGGTCCTGGGTTCGATTACGGTCAACGGCACGTGCCTGGGTTGCAGGCTCCATCCCCAAAAGGGAGCATGCAGGAGGCAGCCAATCAATGATTCTCTTTCATCAATGATGTTACTCTCTCTCTCCCCTCTCCCTTCCTCTCTGAAATCAATAAAAATATATATATTTTTAAAAACCGTACAAATAGAGCCTTGGCTGGTTTGACTCAGTGGATAGAGCGTCAGCTAGTGGACTAAAGGGTCCCAGGTTCGATTAGGGCCATGGTCGGCAAACTACGGCTCGCGAGCCACATGCGGCTCTTTGGCCCCTTGAGTGTGGCTCTTCCTAAGCCTTAGGAGTACCCTAATTAATAACAATGTACCTACCTATACAGTTTAAGTTTAAAAAATTTGGCTCTCAAAAGAAATTTTAATCGTTGTACTGTTGATATTTGGCTGTTGACTAATGAGTTTGCCGACCACTGGATTAGGGTCAAGAGCACATGCCCAGGTTTCAGGCTCAATCCCTAGTAGGGGGCATGCAGGAGGCAGCCAATCAATGATTCTCTGTCATCACTGATGTTTCTTTCCCTTCCTCTCTGAAATCAACAATATATATATATATATATATATATATATATATATATATATGTATTTTAAAAATATATAAGTATATAGTACATGTTGGTTTAAATTGTACATAGGATGAAAACTGAGAAAACAATTTTCCTTCCAATATTCAAAACCTAGGGTTCCATATTGCAAATAAGTCACTTGAATCAATGAAAAATAAGTGGAAATTCCAACATGTGCCTTAGATTGTGCAGTCCTACTGGTTAAAATAATAAATTCATTCAAAAATTGGTACAGCATTCTGAGCAGACATTTTACCAAAGGAGATAAAGACAGTGTAAATCAATGTACGAAGAAATGCTCACCATCAACAATTCTTAGGTACATGGAATTAGAACGAAAGCGAATTCACACTATACTCACTTATGGGGCTAGTATTTAAAAAAGTCAACCATTGCATGTGTTGGCAGCATTATAGAAAAACTGGAATTTTTTTTTAATATATTTTTATTGATTTCAGAGAGGAATGGAGAGAGAGAGATAGAAACATCAATGATGAGAGAGAATCATGGATCGGCTGCCTCCTGCACGCGCGCCCCCCCCCCCCCCGCCCCTCCCGGGGACCGAGCCCACGACCAGTGCATGTGCCCTTGACCGGAATCGAACCCGAGACCTTTCAGTCTGCAGGCCGACACTCTATCCACTGAGCCGAACTGGCCAGGACAAAACCTGGAATTTTTATATGCTATCAGTGGGTGGGAAGGCAAAAGCAATGACCATTTTGGGTCACATTTCCGCATATCTTAAGATGTAAAACATGCACCTACACAACATGTATCTATATAAAGAACTGAACACAAATATTCCCAGATTTATTTATAATACCACAAACCTGGAAATAACCAAAATCTCAGATCAATAGATACAGTGGTTATCTATAGAACATACTACTACTCAGCAATAAAAAAAAATTAAAAAACTATTCACATAAGCATTTCTGTTGAATCTCAAAATAACTGTGTAGCAAGAAGGAAACCAATATTTGTTAGAGTACACACCTTCGCACTGGCCGGCTTGGCTCAGTGGTTAGTGTCAGCCCATGGA